GGGGATTAACAAAATTAGCATTCGAGTGATTACGCATAGCCTTCCTGCTATTTTGGCGTCCGTGACGTCCATAATTAACAAGTCTCTCACAAGTAATACCTTTCCAATTGAGTGGAAAACAGCTGAAGTGATCCCCGTGTTGAAAGAAGGCGATCACGAAAAGCCAAATAATTACCGCCCTATATCCCTATTACCTGTTCTTTCAAAACTATGTGAGCGTATCGCTTTAAATCAACTTATGCCCTACTTGGTGGAGAACGATCGTCTTTCTGCCCATCAAAGTGGTAATAAAAAGTGGCATTCCACCGAGACTTCACTGATCTACACTTCTGATGGCATTCTCACTGCAGTTGACCAAAACAAAACATCAGATGTAGTTCTCCTTGATATGAGCAAAGCATTCGATAGTGTCAACCACGATATTCTGCTTAAAAATTACAAGACATTGGCTTGTCACCCTCTGCCATCCTGTGGTTCAAGAGCTACTTGTCAAACAGGTACCAAGCTGTGCGTATAAATACTGCTCTTTCCGAACCCCTGCTAATGAGGTACGGTGTTCCCCAAGGAAGCATCCTCGGTCCTTTGCTCTTCACGGCTTATACCAATGACTTGCCATCAATCCCACAACACTGTTCCACGGACTGCTATGTTGATGACACTAAATTGCTTATGTCATTCCAAGTGCAGGACTGTGAACCGACTATGGCCGCGATGAACGATGATCTTATTAAACTACGTAATTATTGGTGTTTTAATAATAGGCTACTCCTGAACCCGGACAAGGCTAAACTGATTGTATATGGAAGTCGGCAAATGATATCGAAACTTCAGGTTTTCGCCTTACCCTCTTGGGTAAAAAACTTTTACCCGTTGACTCTGTTAAGGACCTGGGTGTAGTGTTAGATAGTAAACTCTCATTCAACGACCACATAATTAAAACAGCATCATCTTGTATGTCTGCCCTAGGGCAAATTAGTCCAGTTAAACATATATTTAGAAAAGACATACTTGTTACAATAATTAATTCTAATTAATTAAGTTGTATTACTGCTCGTCCGTCTGGTCAAATACTTCTGCCGGCAATATACGCAAACTACAAGGAGTACAGAATTTCACTGCTCGCATAGTTTCTGGGACAAGGAAGTTTGATCACGTATCTCCAGCCCTGAAAGACCTGAGTGAAGTCCCACCTGTATCTAAGAGACGCCATCTTGGCCTTTAAATCTATGACTGGTCGGGTACCAAACTACCTCAGTTCAAACTTTATCTCCAGAGGGAATATCAGTGGTCGGACGACCAGATCATCTTCCCAGCTTAATATACCGCTTTTTAAAACCAAGTCGGGACAGAGATCTTTTTGTTACAGAACTGTAACATTGTGGAATGCGTTAAAACCCCATTTTAAATTAAAGTGAATCTCTTATCATTTTCAAACGTAAAATGAAAGCCTTCCTTTTAAATCAATTTTTAATGTCATAAATTTATATGTAAATAGTTTCTTAATAGTTTATTGATAATCAATTTGTGATACTTTTTTTCTTTTTTTCTTTTTTTGATTACCTGTACTATTAATACTTGTCTCTGAAAAGCACATTTTGTTCCTAGTCAAACTCTATTAAGTATTTTTCATTCCCTAATTTCGCCTTATCTAACCTATGGTATATGTGCTTGGGGCCCATGCCAGGTGCTAAAGTCTATACAAACAAATTATTGGTTCTTCAGAAAAGAGCACTTTGATTGATGTTTTTCACTAAACCCACGGACCATGCCATTCCCTTTTTCTAGCAAACGAGGTCTCTAACGTTAACCTTTTTGTATTTTGAACGCCTCTGTTATTGATGCATGACGTTTATCACCAAGCTGTTCCAAGTAATCTAAGAAGCATTTTCAGACTAACGACCAATGTACATAACTATAGAACCAGGTCTGCATCAAACCAACATTATTATGTTGAGTACTCTCGAACGGAAAAAATGAAAAAACCATAAATGTGAGAACTGGTGCTCGATGAAATGGTCTACCTAAATCTCTAAAGTCGTTGAGTAAATCTCAATTTAAATCCAAAATCAAACAAATTCTCCTCGAGATTCTTCAGAAAACAGATGACTATACTGATGTTCCCCCAATACTTTGTGATGTTAGGAAACGAAAGTGTTATAATATCTTACATATTTCATTTATTTGTTTGTCTGCCACTAATATCATTCAACATTAAGCTTTAGAATAATATCTGTAACTCTACAGATCAGCCTCTGTATTTTTATGATGACAAATTTTCATTATTTTTTAATACGATTACTTTTCCCTGCCTCGAATAGTGTTTCTTTGCTTGTACTACTACATGAGAAATTTCTGCAATTTGATTGGCTTAGAGCAGTGGTATTTCAGCTTAATTTGAAATACCTACATGTGAAAATTACAAACCTTTTGTGGGTAGTAGTATAAACAAATAACAGCATGATTTGTATGTGATATTTGGCATAAATACCACTCATGATGTTTCAAAATTGTCTCAAATTTCACTCCTCTAACGGCTCGTGAAATTACGTATAACAATTTCGAAATATCACTCGTGGTTTTTATGCCAAATATCACTACAAATCATGCTATTGCCTATACTAATTTGCAGGGTAACTGTATTTAGATTCAAAATATGTGTGAATAAAAGTTCTGTTGTTATCATTGTTGTTACAATCTGGAAATATCATTACTGCTACGCAAGCAAGCAGTGAATATGTGCTTTGTGCAAAGCGAAAAATAGGATGTGCCTATAATGTGCAAACTAACTCCCTTTTACTGATAGGATTTTGTGTAGGATATGGTGATTTTTCAGACCTAGTCATACAGGATTAAATAATTACAGTTAAATTAAGTACATAACAGTGCATTATATTTAGGACATTTACCAGAAGGGAAACCACATATAATCCTCTTTTAATAGGTTATCTAATCTCGTATACTCACTTCCATCATGTATAAAAGCACACTCATTTACCACAGGTTCTATGATTGAGTCTTTAATTATGACTATGCCTGTAGTTCACCTGGCATCCTTGATCCAGTCATGAGTTACAACAACTAGAGGCAACAACTAGAGCTTGTTTCTACACAAGTCGAGTCCTGTTCCCAGCTCTGAAATGCTGTTAACCCAAGAATCGACTGAGCAAAAACAAACAGTCAACACTCATCTGATGAACTCGATCACGTTATCATCCCATTTACACCATCAGCTGTTATGTTGCTTAAAAAGTATAAACCATGAACAATAAAGCTTAGAGGATTTACGGGTACATGTATACATTCATTAGCAAAACATATTCAAAATTCTTTAAACAAAAGTTTACAATCATTGTCACAAGCTAGCTGCTCTTGCGGATCAATGCAAATGCCTAGAGTACTTTGTTTAAGGCATACTGTTGCGTAGTTACTAAAACAAGGAATGACCTACAATGACCTACAATGACCTACAATGACCTACAATGATCTACAATGACCTACAATGACCTACAATGATCTACAATGACCTACAATGATTTTAGAAAAAGACAAAAAAAAAAAAGACTAGGGGACGTGTGTCGTAGTTACTAAAACAAGGAATAACCTACAATGACCTACAATGATCTACGATGAGCTACTACGTGCTATAATGAGCTACTATGAGCTAAAATGAGTTAAAATAAGCCCTACAATGAGCTACAAAATGACAGACAATGATGTTTGTCGTGTGTCACGCTTGGATGTGACACTAGGCTCATAGTATTAAATTGCCAAGCACATTTTGGAAAGGAAAAACAAAAATTGTGCCTGATCTCAGGTAACTTGAGAAACTTGAAAATAGATTATTGCAATCGCGTTTTTACTGGTATAGCACTATCATACCCTGCATTGACGGAAGTCATGCAGGCACTCCCTTATTTGGCCTAGATGGGTATGGGCCGCTGAGCAGGATATGGATTTTACTATTTAGCGTTACAAACAGAGCATCCTGTTGGACCGAAAGCCATTTAAAGGGTCTTATGATGTCTTATACAGGCCAGGGTACTTAAAAAAAAAATGAACAATTTTTCTTTTGAACAGGGTCAGAATTTGAAGGCCTCCTTTCTTCATCTCAGTACCCTTACGTCCCTTGAAGATCCCCCCGGATCGGCTGTTGGGGTGACTGTGTTTGTTCAATTTGTTTAAAAAAAAGACAAGACAAAATAAAACTAATGCGAAAGGTTGCAAGGGATGGTTTGGACAAAAGTCACAGTATCATCATACATATATTATTACACTGTAAATTTATCTCCAAGCGTAATAATTAGAGATGCTGTCATCGTTAAATGGGCTGTCATGCAGTAGACTAAACGCGTTACGTTTACGCACACGTGTCCCCTGATCTTTTTTTTTGGTCTTTTTCTAAAATCTCCATTTTAGCTCATTACAGGGATTACACGTTCGGTCATAGTAGCTCATTGTAGGTCATTGTAGATCATTGTAGGTCATTGTAGGTCATTGTAGGTCATTGTAGATCATTGTAGGTCATTGTAGGTCATTGTAGGTCATTCCTTGTTTTAGTAACTACGCATACTGTTGTCTTTGTGTGTCTTTCAAGAAAGTTTATAGGTCCTATCTTATGATTTTAAAGCGTGTGTTGGCCATAGGCTCTGCTCTTTAACGGTAGAGATCTCTGATTTGCCTGGCACAGGTGATGTTGTAAGCTTATTGCGAAGAAAACTGGAAACTGTGTGACGATCTTGTAACGCTTTGATACTGCATGATACATTTTTCTGGAAAAAAACTTTGAAATTGTAATGCTGATAAAGTTCTACCCTTATACATCCACTGGGTGCCATTGTTCATGGTTTATACTCTTTAAAAAACAATCTTTTTTCAATCAGGTGTATACTTTATATTTTCATTACACACCACCTTATCTGATATCTGTATGGGTATAAAATACCAACTTTCTGTACTTAACACCATCCTTCCAGCTGCACTTTATGTATTTCTGTTTTTGATGTACATTTTTTTCATCACACAGAGGAATATTACCATTGCCTAAAGGAGTACTTGACATGTTTAAAGAAGGTAAACTGAAACATTCTTAATGCTCACCAACTACCAGGCACTTCAGGCGATATTGTCACAGATAGTAGCCTGTTAATTAAGTCATAACATGATTTTTATAATAACTATAATCTTGATAGCTAGGGTTTGTTAAGTTATGGAGGGGGAGGGTGATGTTTGGTCTAGATATACTTCATTACTGTCTTTGTAGTGTAATGATACCTAGTTGAGCATGACTCTTGAAATTTGGTAAGTTATAGTTTAGAGCAGAGTTTTAGTCAGGAAATTATAAGTTTGCGTCCAGTTAGAGTAATGTTTGAGCATACATGCCATTTGTTTAATATCATATTATGTCTTGGTTCTTAGTTAGTCCTGCAGGGTCCATATAGTCAATGTACATTCCACATGTTTTTAACGTGAGTGTTGATAGTGTTGAGAAGAAACTGTGGTTTGTTGTTTTATATCATAGATACAGAACCAGAAGATGATCCATGTAAACATGATGGACGAATAAGATCCTTTTCACACTTCCCTGGTAACTGGGCTATGCATGTTTATATCCCATGTGAGTGTCACTGTTCCAGTCGTTTTTAATACAATTTTTGTTGATGCATTTCATTTGTTTTGTGTGGACTACTGCATACCACTTTTCATAATGTCGAATAACTGGTGCTGGTATTGACATGATTTGCATGGTGCAGGACACATCTTGAGTCAACCTATAGGAAAGTGACATAAGTTTTTATTTGTAGCGATTATAAATGCCATAAAGCAGAGTTTGAACTAGAAGTGCATTTGCAATTGCTTGTTGGTAGCCTGAATTATCTTCACTGCCTGACTGTTTTCCACAGTTATTTTTAGCAGTAAAAAAAATGCAAGAGTAAGTGTAGAGGACAAGATGGATTTGTGGTTACTATTTTGACCCTTTACACTTTCACTTATAATAAACTGGTAATTAAGTAGAACCCCCCAAAATCCCGTAGTTTGAGTATGCCCTTTAAAAATTTTGGTTTTTGGAATCCCTGTGACACTCACATTAAAGCCCATTTTTTCTACCAACATAGAATGGATTCTTTAGTCTTTTGCACTTTTTTCAATAATTAGTGATGCAATTAAGTAAAAAGTACAGGATTCAGACTCCCCTTTTATGCCTCAAGAATGGTATTCTCTTTTTTCATTTGATGTCACCAAAATTCACACTTCGGGAATTATTGATTCTTTGGATTTTCTACTTTCATAAGGTATATATTACAGCTGCTAAACACCTTTATTCATACAAATTTTTGGTTCAAAAGTATGTTTGATGCTTGGAAAGCTCTTATGTGGGTTAAAAACATTGCTGATTTTTGGAGATTTTGGTATCTAAACATTCCTTGTCTTAGAAGAAATATTACTTACGGTAGTTGTGATTTCCTCAAGTGAAGCAATAAATTCACACATATAACAGATTGTTTCTACTGGTTTCTGGCGGCCATGTTTGTGCCCCTCAAAGGGATACCAAACATTTAAAAAACACTATTTTTTCCAAATTTCTTGCATATTAAATTTTGCCCAGACATGATTCTTGGCAAGGCTTTTTGTATATTCATCTTCTTTCATTTCCCACATTCTGGACTTTCTCTATATGGTTTCCATTTTTGTTTTTGATGATGTGACAGTCAAAACAAAGAATTCATACAATTGTAATGTAACTACCATTATTTTGCTTTAAATGAGGACCTTATTTTGAAATATTGATATTTTGCATGCATGCATTACTTCTGCAGTCAAAGCCAATGTACATTTTGAGAGTCTTGTGGCATCATTGGTTGATAACCTGTCAATCACCATGTCATGTGATGTGCACATGTTTCCCTGTGATGAGTTACACATGAGTGTGTCCAGGACAGTTGCCATCCGACATTACTGGATAGAACCAATCACAGAGCAGCTTAGAAATGGACTTAGCAGTCTCAAAAGGTAACTCTTATAATTTCTTTTTTTTCAAGTTACTGCCTAAATCTGAATGATTATTTTAATAAGTACTAAATCCAAGATGATGGCCATTTTGAATATGTTATAGTTCCCAACTGCTAAAACAACCGGGCCATGATTGTTGCAGTTTTGTTTACACCTTGCCTTGTTGCTAAGCAACTGCAGACGTCCAAACGGATATGCCAGTTCCAAGTTCCCCCGGGCCTCTGTATCAAAACGAGGTTGATGCTCAGCCTTTGATATGGAAATGATTTTTCATTCTCATGCAAATAAAACTCACTTTCACAAGAAAGATTGTGGACTTGGCCTCATTTTGAAAGTGAGGGTTTTTGGAACTCGGAAGTGGCCTATTAAAAGGGAGAAATTTAGATGGCCAAAGCAAGATCACACCTCACTTAGCAGTTCTCGTGGGATTCACGCGCATTGCGAATTCCAACAAAATTATAAACCTTACTTCACTTTGCAATATGAATAGCTATACTTTTATTCATAAGATAATTAAAAGCTCTGGAGTATCACTGATTGTGTATACTGTACATGTTTCAGCTTTGTATCTGTCCTTCAGTGTCCCGGACTGTACACTAATGATGAGAAAACAAGGTACTGATCTGTAGCTGTGTCATCTAATATTTGGTGATTAATCATGGGTGACGTGTACGTAATAAAGTTCTACATGTACAAGTGGCATCTGGAAGATGACAGATGAGCTTAGTAGAAAATCTTATTATTATTATTATTATATTTTTACAACAGTAATAGCATATTATATTATATATAATATGCTAGAATGTAATATAAGGACACTTTGTGGAAATTTTAGCAACAACTGCAGTTGTGAAAAACCAGCTTTTTCTTCAAAGTTTTTCTGTTGGCTGAAAGCGGGAAGATCAGCCTATCAGAATGCAAGGCTTGTAGAATTTTCACTGAAACTTTTTTTTAAATCTTTTTATCACTAATGTTCCTTGTAAGTTGGTAAACGTTAAAGCTAAACCTTTCTTTTCTGAGTGATTTTTGCAAATCTGCATCTTTTAGTGCAGCCGGGAGTTTTTCTTTGTACCAGGGGTAAGGCGTGGGATGAGCCAAATTATAAGACAATCACTCTGTGCTCACGAAAGCTCGTTCCCTTTTTGATGTTAATGAACCAGGTTTGCTAGTACTTTGGATATTTTTCTTACACCAAACTTTTGTAAACTTTACTTGCATTACTCTACATTTTCAGATCATTTGTTGCCCTTAAAATCATGACAGAAAGTAAAAAGGTGAGCCAGTGTGCTGTGTGTGCGACAAACTGTCAGGAATGCGAGCCAGGAATGATTGTCACAAGTGTTTGTGTTGTTGCATTCGTGCCTTCTCACAAACCCCGCCCCATTTAACATGTGAAGTTTTGAGGTTACCGGATACCTTCATGGGTGTGTCATAAAAACCTATGTCAAGTAAGAGCTTATTGAACCAGCTGTCTTAATAAACTCATAATTCTTTGAAAACTTCCATGGTCGATATTTTTATCCTTTTCTAATGCGAACTTCCAAAGCAGCTTTTCAACAATTCAACTATAAGAAAATTTGCTAAAATGGGACAAATTTGGCGAGCTAGAGTCATTGCGATAAAGTTTGAAGAGTGTGAAAACACTTCAGACCCTTCACTTGTTTACCCCTGTTGTACTATATTTGATTTACTTCATAGTATATGTATTGTGCAATACGATCTGTTATAGACTACATTCTCCTTAGTAAGCAATCATATTGGTTTTCAGTTTCAGGACATCGTTAATGTAGTAGACAAGGTCTTTCAGCAATTTTCTGTCCCATCTTTCTACAAGGTAAGGAAGAAATAAACTTATTTAAACAGAAATGCTTCAAGTAAACCCACACAGTTGATGTTTATAACCGATATGCACTACCAAGAGAAAAAGTCGCTTATTGATATGGTTAATTTTTCGATAGAATGAAGTGATGAGTATATCAATCTCATTTAATAAAAGTTCAATACACACTTTGCAACTGTACAGTGAGAATTTGCGTGTTATTTTCGTAACATAGCTCCACTATTCGTTTCAGTCTCAGTAAATACTGTTACATGATTTCCTCATCAATTGTGAAGTACGCCAATCTCTACTCCACGTTTGGCGGATAACTGCGAAAAAAAAGAACAGAAAATGTTGGTACGTAAGTACTTTACAATTTGTATTGTTTATTTGTTTGAAGGATCCTTCATTCCATGTGAGCGTTGCTTGGCTTCTTGGTGATATTTGTTCTACTGAGAGGGACAAACTTCAAACTCAGCTTCAGGTAAAACCTTCTTAAAACAATGCGTGTCTCACTATCGTTATCATTAGGTTAATTTAAAAAATAAGGTCTGTCTTAATTAATATACCTTACCTTCCTCTTTTTAATCTGTCGTGTATAAGGCTTTGACAAACCCCTTCCATGAAGTGTGTCTTCAAGTTTCCATAATAAAAAAGATTTTACGGGGAGGAGTTATTATCCCCTCTCACAACTCCCGACGGATGAAAACATGCTGTATTTGTTGGCCTTTCCCCTGGAACCTGCTCTGCAGTATGGTTGAACCTGCCAGGAGCATTTAGCTTCAACTGCTATAGCCACCAGGCTCATCAAGGCACGCTACAGTTCAGCTAAGGCCATGTCTATACTTTATCGGATAGCTTTTTATACCGACATAAAATGCTCTCCGGTACAGTATGAGCGCCAACGGAACAAAACTGGAACAAGTTGGTCACACACATCGAACATCGAGCCGGAGCGGGTGGCCGTACAATCAAAAGATAAGGCACCTCCTCAAAATCTAGTTAACCCTACGATTCTTCAGTCATTTTCTTTAACTCTATTAGGAAACCTGTCCAATAATACAGGCCTTTTTTCAGTCCCAAATGTGTCTGTGTGAGAGAATTGACTGTAGTTTGTGTGACACCACACATTTGCCTCTGTAAATGCCACTCAGTCTTTAATTTATTCTACTTGCAATCAAATTAAGACGCCTTGGTTGTTATGTGCAAACAGAGCCCCTATCCGGTGTGGTAAGAACTATCCGCTTAAGTGTGAAGACATAGCCTTAAGCTAAGCCCCTTCTGGCTATGGTAGACTACACCCAATGAACAGACTTGACTTCGCAAACAAATGCATTTGGTATTTTGGCTTAATTCAACATTTTTACATTGCTCATATCTTATCTTGTTCACCCGCCAATTTTTTGAATATCAATGTTTCCATTGTCTCCCGAGTATTAAAGATGTCGCAAGAGAAACTAAAGAAAATTCATGAAAAAAAAAATGAAAAAGAAAAATGTAGGAGGGGGGTGAGGTAACAGGTGCTGGGGGGCGAAAAAGGCGCATTAAAATGGTGGATGGTTGAAAAGAAAAGCTTCTTTGCTGGGTTAAAATCTGTTTCATAAGTTCCACGCTAGTTTTTGGTTCTCGTGTTGATCCCTGTCGATGTAATTTCAATTCTTCGGCTTCCTATACTTCTGTCTTTTCAGTATCAATTAACGAGCAGTCTAACTAAGTCCAAAAAAACTGGGTCTTGGGCGAATTCCTCTGGAAGGAGGTAGGACAGTATAGTTTCAATTGTAATCGCACCAATCAGTTATATTTGAACTGTACTCGATTTGAACACTGATTCAGGATATCATAATTATCTTACGTAACCAGAAGAATCCGTTAACCTCCCACTAATCCCTCAATTCTCGACAATACTTATTAACCCCCGCCTCCCTCCCAACCTAGTGTTCTCATAAGTACAAGCAAAACCTGGTTTCTATACATCGCTACCCTGCTAAAGATACGTAGATGTAGTACATAATCCCAAAAAAGTGATGAAGTGCACTTTCTGGGTTTGTTACCTCGGGTAATATTGGCCTCTTTTACCTTTGTAGATTACGAATACCGGTCACACCCCATGCCCAGTGACCAAACGCAATGGCACATTGCTGCATTGCACACAAATAGATAGCTGTTTCTCTCTGAAAAAGGAGATAAGCCGCACTCCAGTAGATCCCATTGCCTGATAATACATCTTATTATTCATTCAAAATATTTCGCCGTTTCTGATTGGCTCAAATCGCGCAGCTAGTTCTTTATAGCCAACCGCCGCTGACCAAATTTGGAAGATGCGAGCAATATACCATCGATTCGATGGTGTATTCGATTGAAAACACGGTTGATCGATAATTATATATATATTGCCCTGGGAACGAGGCTGCTTATTGGGCAAGAGAACATTGTTTAACCTCGTTTCTAGGCGCGGCCCTCCAAGCTGTTTTTTCATGGGGGAACTTAAAAAGTGGACCTATGGCTATCCGAAGACGAAATAGCTGAATTTCTGACCAAAACTGAACTGAAAAAATGAAAGAATACGCAAAACAACTTTCTCGATGGATCTTATCTACTTTTTGAGGAGTACCCGTAAGACAAAAACATCTCTCTATCTCCAAAAACCGTGCCGAGAAATAGGCCAAAGTTTCGAAGAAATTCAACGAGGAGGTAAGCTTGTTAAGATGGTAGAAACATTTTGAATGAATATTAAAACTATTATTGAATTCTGCTTTTATATGATGTAGAGATCTCGGACGATATCGTCCTGATGTTATCTTCGATCTGTATAATTCTTCACATCACACTCCCCATTCAATACTTGCTAAATAAATAACAATTATTCACCTCAGTGTCGGTGGCTAGTATTGGTTATTTACCAAGGCCGCGAAGCGGCGAAGTAAATATCCAATACTAGCCACCGACACTGAGGTGAATAATTGTTTTAGTATATACTAAAACAGTGAGATAATTGAACACAAAATGATGATTTTTAACTCATTTACTGTTGCCAACGATTACAATTTTGGCGCGCGATGACCGAACGGCCGCGGTCGTCGCTTTTTCTTAGCGACAAATAAAACTTTTGAAGGCGTTTGTTTAGCTCTTGCGGTGAAGTTTCTTCAAAAGGAGTTGTGAATTCGGTTTGTATTTAAAATAATTCTGTAAAAAAGATTATTAAATTTAGTTTTAAGCTTATTTATGAACAAGTCAACTAAATAAAGTAACGCAAGACTTAAGCTTAATTTGCATTTGTAAACAAAAAACTTTTTCACCGGTTTTATCGATAATTATTCAAGTCAAAAAGACAAAGCTTTACCTGTTAAAACTTCCAAACCGAACTTCGTCACCTTTTTCATGTATTTCGGAAATAGCTTGCTTGATTAGTTGTGGAATTTCTTAGTTTGTTACGGCAGCAAACCGGGAAAGCATTTTGCTCACAACCTACACGAGTTTGGCGTCCCTCGCTCGGAGGAACTGGAGGTGAATCAGTGAATAGTTAACAATTATTCTTTGAAATCGAGGTGAATAGTGGCAAAATATTTACCGAGCCACGAAGTGGCGAGGTAAATATTGCTAAAGCCACTATTCACCGAGATTGAGAAGAATAATTGTTTTAGTGTATACACACGAAGTGATCTCAACAAAATCAGAGAGGAAACCATTAAAACGTACGATACGATTGAGAGATCAGGTCAGCTAGACACGCGTAGTTTAAAAATAGATCTTTGTAGAATTTTCAAATATGGCAGTTCATAAGCTTATCACTTCGCAAACAACAGCGTAATTACTTAAATGGAACCGCTAAAAGTTTGAATTGTTTTCTTACCTGAGAAGAAAAGAAGAGCTTTGTTGTTTTCTGTTGACTCGCCAAGTTTATAGCCGAAAAGTTTGTTGTGTCGTTCTTCGCATGAAGCGCTGACAAAAATGGCGACTCGGTTCCTCGAGGTAAGACGTCGTCTTCATGTAGCATTCTTTCTCATGCTTACTTGAAACGTAGAATTTCTGCAAACATTTGCTTTCAAATTTGTTTGTCATAAATAAACTTCGTTTTGGGGCCAAATTTTTCTTGTTAGGAAACGCTGAGTTCACGAAACGGCCTCTTCTAGGCGAATAAACGGGAGTTGTAAACAATCCATCGACCTCAAAACTCAACAACAGTAAATGGAAAAACGCCGTTTTGAATCCTTCGAAGTCTTTTCTTGCCTGAAAAAAAGTCAACCCTAGGATTTTGTCGACTTTTAAAAGATCTTTCTCTAAGAAAATAGGAAAAAAAACGAGCTCACACATTATCCACTCGCTAGGAGGTGAATATTGTTGAATAGTCCGAGATAGCGAACCAATCAGATTGCTTAAATCACCAAGATCACTGAGTGTGTATATACTAATGCAGGATATTCACGGACTGAGTAGCCAATCAGAGCGCGCGAAAAACACTATCCACTGTTTTAGTATATACTAAAGAGATTTAGCCGGGCTTCCAAAGACTTCCCTCCCCCTCCCGCAGAGTCTGTACGGGTGTTTTAGCGCTTGCACGGTCACATGACTATCAAAGGAAAAAGGTTGTCCGTGTTGTCTAATATCCTACTACGCTCGCGCGCGAGCGTGGAGCTCCGCTATGAATCATTTTACCGAATCTATTTTAATGGTTAACTTGGTTTCGGTTGCAGGGTGTTTTCGATGCGCAAGTCTGCGAGAAAGAAATTGGTAGATCGTTGGTATTGGAAGTGAGAGAAGTGCATTGCAAAATTGGCAATAAACGTTTTGTCTTTCAGTTGCATAACACGTAACCAGGCAAGCCACTTGCAAAAATCCTTACGAGCAGTTACATCAGAAAACTAACAAGCAACGCATCAATCAGGAACAGAAACAGGATACTGTATTTAAGTTCGGTTGCTACAAAAAAACAGAACCTCGGCTCCAAAGTAAAAATGTTGGGTATCAACGAGCTATTGCGACTTAAAAGGAGCGAACTGGAGAGTACAGACCGAATGTATACCACACTTATTTACTTAACGTGCTTCTTGATTTTCTGAACCCAATAGTATAGCCTCAAAACTGGCAGGAAATTGAAGAGGTGCCATCGATCCCTTAGTTATTTGACTTGAATACGTTAGATACGCTAGATTTCTTTTAAACATTCTCAGTGCTACAATTGATTTGCGTTCTGGACATCGTGATACATGTGTGTATTTCATATCCATAGAGGACTTGTATTTTAAAAGTTGTCTAACGCATGGGTAAAATTGAGTAAACGTGGAAGCCAATTGAGATTATTTGAGCTCTGGGATTTGTTAGAGAGGTTAAGCATCACGTTTACGTCAAACAGCAAACGCGAATTTGTACCACTTGGCCAAGTTTTCTCTTTACTTGTCGATTACTGTTCATAATTTCTATACCTAAATTAGTAGTTTCACGCAATTTTTTATCCGTAAGAATTATTTTGAGCTGTGTTTATCTGCTCATTTTCTATTTTACAACATTAAGAAATTCTCAACTTAAATCTAGCCACCGTATACGTGGAGCTTAAACTCTCTATTGCTTTGCACAAAATCGAATTCCAATGCACCAGCCGTGATATTATCCCTTTTGGATGTCCTCCGAAATCTTCCGAAGTATAGTAATGTTCTGGAACTATAGGACTATGTTTTCGCGTGCGGTTTTTGTTTAGGACAGCGGCATTTTTCCTTTTCTGATTCCCTCGGTCTTGGCATGTCAGTTGAATTTTCCGCACACTGTTAGAATGGATTTAAAATAGTTATATATAATGATTAAGCTGTTTAGATAAGATAGAAAGTGTGTTTTCCAGAATACTGGCTTTAGTCACCTTAAAATGTTTGAAATCTGGAACGTATTATATTTCCTTCGCGTCTCCTACACAAACTACCGCTTTTGACGTAAATCAGGACTCCTTAAATGACCATCACGTTTCGCTGGACATACTCACTTTTAAGGAGGCTACCACAGGGCGCATCCAAGGTTATCAGTTAAGATTTCCGCGGACAAAACAAAATTGATGGCTGTATTTAGCTAGGGCTTGAAGAGTTGTTATTGCCAACTATCAAAACGCATCAAACTAAAACTAATCAGGTGCTCAGTAATATAATAAGGAGTCACACTTAAGCGTTGTTTACAAAAGTTTAATCATTGAAGGTTGTTTACACTTCTTCCGACCTACTTCTCTTAGCTAAAATCAAACTCTACGTTTTTTATGACACTGCATATTTCTGCCTTAATTTCAATCTGAAAGGAAGTCAGCCGAGCATAGAGTGGCGTGCAATGGATATTTCACATTGCTCAACGGAAGTGTAAGTAAGAGATAAAGCCCGAGAACGGAGGTATTAAGCCATATACATCCCGAGGGCCGTAGGCCCGAGGAATGTATATGGATTAATACCGACGTTCGAGGGGTTTATCTAACTTATTTCATGATATTATTCATGAGGTATAGGTTACATAAAGGTCGTCTTTCACAGGGCAATAATTGGCCACTTGTTTTTGACATCTGTTTGTTTGTCATTTTTTGATCCGACCG